AAGGCAACGTGAGCCTCGCAAGTGGCTCTCGGGAAAGCCCACATGGGCCGCCGCGGACTCGAATCCCACCAGCCCTTTGGGCGTGAGTGGTTCAGCGAGCTCTCTCTGTCCTCAACCCCTCTTCCCCTTCGGGGAGGGGTTTACCCCTCCCCCTACCCCCTCCCCCTGGGCCTGGAGAGGGGGTCCGGCGGGTCGTCGGGGGGGTCAATTTCGACTCCTGGGAGGGCTAAAAAACGACACCACTCACGAGGATTCTGCCCCCGACGGGGGGGCGCCAAAAAAACCCTCTCCTCTTCTTTGAAGCCAAAATCATTGATTTTACTTCGGTTTCGGCCCCATTTTTGGCCTTCTGAGGGGGCAGCGCTCCTGTTCCTTCATAGCAAAATCATTGATTTTACGAAGGTTTTGGGCTCATTTTGTCCTTCTCAGGGGGCAGCACTCATTTGCGCTTCTGAGGAGGTCGCAAGAGGCCCCAAGATGGCCCCAAGAGGCCCCCAGGAGGCTCCCAAGAGGCCTCCAAGAGGCCCCCACGAGGCCCCCAAGAGGCCCCAAGAGGCCGCCAAAAGGCCCCCAAGAGGCCCCCAAGAGGCCCCAAGAGGCCCCAAGAGGCCCCCAAGAGGCCCCCAAGAGGCCCCCAAGAGGCCCCCAAGAGGCCCCAAGAGGCTCCAAGAGGCCCCCAAGAGGCCCCACGAGGAGCCCGAACGACTCACACCAGGACGAGGGGCCCGAACGACTCACACCACGAAGAGCCCGAACGACTCACACCACAAGGAGGGGCCCGAACGACTCACACCAGGACGAGGCGCCCGAACGACTCACACCACGAGGAGCCCGAACGACAGAAGCCCGAACGACTCAAACCACGAGGAACGCTTTCTCTCCCTCCTCCTCCGCCTCGTCCTTCTCCCGCTCCCACCACAAGGAGGATGTACAAGGAGGCGGGAGGAAGGAGGAACAGGGGAGATATGCGGGGGCAGGCGGAAACACGCCTGACAAACACGACTGTCGGCATGCTTCGCCAGAGTTGCTGTTTTGAGATGGGCTGGTGGGGATACGCGAAGCGTGAAGAATTCTAAATGAGAAATTTTCTCGTACAATTTTTCAAATCCCAAAAAGCTGAGCCGGGCGCCAGGTGCCTGAGCCTGGCGCGCGCTGAAAGAGCGCTGTGAAACCGCGCGCTCTCATCGCAAGAGGTAGCCCTGGACTGGCCCCAAAACAGGTCCGACGCATACTCCTCCCCCGAACGCTGCAGGCCCTCTGTCGGACTTTCGACCGCGCGCGGGCCAGGGGCGGAAGCAACCCGATCGGTCTTGCGCCACCCGTTGGCATATTTAGGGGTAAGATCAAAATCATCCAGAGCGCCGAGACGCTGGGGTCGCGAACCCGCGCATCAAGCACATCTGCAAATCTCTGCACTACATCGCCGAGACTCTGGGATCCCGCTCCCGCGCGTTGAGCACATCTGCGAATCTCTGCACTACATCCGTCGGAGGGCATCTGGAGCAGCAGCCGCGGCTGGAAACCATCCCAACCCAAGGCCGTGCCCTTAGCATGGCACTTGCGCGCCGATCGGATGCCGTCTGCTGAAGCCGGCTCAAAAAAACATGAAAACTGCCAAAAGCGTGGGCGCCCCTCGTGGGCCCTCGACTCCTGGTTCCAAATCTGGACCCACTCCTCCTCGAGGGGCTTCTCTAGAGCCGCGTGGCCCGCCAAAGGGATGCCCCCTCCTCGACGGGCCCCAGGGCGGGCTCGGGGATGGGCTTGGGGCCTTCGCTGAAGTGATGGGCTATGCGGCCCCCCTTCAAACCGACGACTGAACAAAATCCAGCCACGCCTGTCTCGACTTGGCCGCGTCGCTAGCAAGCCCGGCGCCGACCTCCTGGGGGATGTCGGCCAGGAGACCTGGGCGCCTGTCTGGATCCTGGAGGCCTTGCAGCGCGGAGCGGCCCGAGTGGCCCCCTCAGCGTCTCCGACTCTGCAGAGGCGAGACAAGGGCTGACCTGATCGAGAACTTCCAAAAGCCTCCCCCAGTCACCCCCGCCCGACCCCCCTTCTTCTTGGACAGCCCCAACAGCTGCGCTAAAGTGCGCCGCATCTGTAGCCATTCGGCCGTGCCTGCCGTCGGGCGTCGCGTGAGCTCTTTGCCCGACGCAGCTTGGAGTGGCATCATTGGAAACTGTCAGCTTGTTGCCCTGTCCGGATACTTGGCCGCGTCCCCTGGCGGGGTCTTTTGCGAGCCTAGAAAGTAAAACTCCGCCGTTTTAAACCACCCTTGGGGCGCCTCCAGAGGCCTCGGGGGAAGGGGCCCAGCATCCCAAGACCAAACGCAACCAATGAAGTCGGGCCCTGGGACTCCGACTCCATCTGGGTCGGAAGGCGACAGGAAGTCTTGGTTCTTCAGACCCGACCCTTCGTTGGCCACCAGGCGCGCCGAGACTGGTCCAATCTGGGCATCCGTCGTGACCGAGACCAGCCGTGCCACAAGCCTGCGTCGCACCCGCTCGGGGAACGCACGCGCGAGATGCGTCGCCCCCGCCGACGCGCGGGGCAGCGCGGCAAGCCCGCCCGAATGCTCCAACGCTCCATCTCCAGTGGCTGTCGCAGCATCCGCATGCATAGCGAAGCCTGCCTTGCCCGCCCGCGATATAAGAAACGCCGCGCTGCCGTGCAACAGGCGCGTCTCCTGCAGAAAATAACCGGGCCTTTATCGCGGTGCATCCATGCTAAGAACGCCTGGCCCGTAGCCCAGGAATTGCTGTTGCAAGTCGCTAGCTGAAGCGCGTCGTCCAGCTCGGTCTGCGCACGCAGCGCCCTGGCTGCTGCAGCACCTTGATGCCCGCCCTCAAGAACATCACCTGGGCGCGAGGCCGGCACGTCGAGAGGGCGCGTTTGCCCTGGAGGGCGGGGGGGCGGGGGGGGCGGCCGCGGCGCGCTCGCCGAGCTTCCCCCCTACCGCCCTCCCGTGGCAGACGGACCCCGCCCGCGCTGCCGCGCAGGCCGCGGTGCGATTCCCGCTCCTCGCGCCGACGGCAGCCCCCGAAAGGGGGCCCGCTGCGCTCGGAGGGCACGCGGGCCTCACGACTGCCACTTCCTCCGCAACACTCCCCCTGAGCCTCGAAGCCGCGATTGGGGCGCGGCGGCAGGGGCGCCTGAGGCGCGCCGCGCACAGAACACCAATGAAGGCCGAGGAGTGGGCCCTGCAGCGAGGCCGGACGCGCACCTCTGGGCCCGTCATGCGGCTAGGCCCCGCCTGGGCTCAGCGGCGCGGCGGTGGCGGATCCCCAGGATGCCGGGGCCTCCGAGGCGGCGGCGCTCGCGCTTGTCTCTGGACGGGGCCCGCGCCCCTCAGTGTCGACCATGTGGCTGGGCCCCCTCAAGCGCCCGAGGCGCGGCGGCGGCGGGCTCCCGGGATGCCGGGGCCTCCGCGGCGGCGGCGTCGCTGCTGGCGCCAAGGGGGGCCTCTGCCCCAGCGCCAGATCCCGCGGCCGAAATCGATCCACTCGTAGCCCTCGGAGCTGCACGCCGCGCCGAAGTCGCCCCGCGCGTGGGCCATGGGGCCCAACTGGTGCGCGGGCGCCCGGGTCTGTCCTGCGCCCCCACTGCATCAGAGGACTGGGCCCCCTCGGGCAGAGGCGCCATCGGGGGCGCCAGCCCGTTCCAACATGCATGTGTTATCGCGGGCACGAGCGCGCGCATCAGAAGCAGTGCTGGAAGTGGAGTCATCGATCTCCACCACCTCCGGCTTGGCTGGGGCTGCGACCGCTGCCGCTGAGCCACCTGCGTCGCCGCCGTCTGCGCCCCGAGCAGAGCCATCAGCGGCTTCGCGCTTCTTCTTGGTAAGCCTTGCGCACTGCTGCGCACGCTCAGCTTTGAGTTTTCCGAACTGGCCGTTGGCTTGAGAGAAAAAGACTTCGCGTTCTGAGTAATGAGTTGATCCAACTCCTGCTTTCGAACTGGAGCTCCCTTTTGTCTCCTTCCCACAAGTCATATTCCTCGTCGCCCACTTCGAACGCATCTCCGCAATGGTGAAGGCGCCGTCAAAGAGAATGTCCAGCCGCGTGCCTGCCGCCGGAGGAGGATCTGGAGAACTTGGCCGTTTGGCCTCTTCAGAGAGCTTGAGCTTGAGGCCAGCGGTCCTGGAGTCGAAAGCGTCGAGCTCCACGCTGAGCTCTTGAATCTTCTCCCTCTGCCGTGCCATGCTATTTTCCCACGTGTCGGCCAAATCCAACTCTTCTCCCGTTCTCCTGATGTGTCCATCTCTCTCGTCGACCAAAAGAGACAGCTGCTTCTCAGGCGGCAGAAGCAGAGGGGCAGCAACCAGGCGATTCACCTCCAACATGCGGAGCTTGCACTTGTTGGCAACCGTGGTGAGGCCCTGCTTGCTGGCCAGAGCCAAGAGCTGGACCTCTTCTCGCTGCATCTGGTGGACATCGAGCGCCATGGGGTCAGCGCCACTGGCGAACCGGTGCCCAGCGCGCAGAGGTGGGCGACGGTCGCCTGTCTGCCCTTTGCCGTTGCCTTTGCCCTTGCCGCTGCCTCTGCCTCCTGCTGGATCGCCCCCCGCGCCGCGCCCACGGCCATTGCGCGAGCGCCCTAGCTTGCCTGTCGCCTCTGCCACCTGCCACTGCCACGGCCAGCTTGCTGCTGTTCAGGCCATGGCTCCTTGGAGTAGAGGGACGCGCCGCATTGGAAGCAGTTGTTCGCCGACTGCTTGTTCTTTCCACAGCCACATGACCAGAATTTGAGCAAGTCTGGTTTAGAGGCTGCAAGATTCCACTCGTCAGCAGCAGGGCGAGAATAAACCCAAGGCGCAAGCTGTTTGGTCATGCGAGGCTGAACAACTCAGGACTGCAACGGTGAGAGCAATGAAAAATGAAGGGTCTCCAACCTTGGCAGGCCGGGAACGGGACTCAGAGCTTCCGGGGGCCGCCTCTCCCCCACGCCACAAAGCCAAGTTCTGAGCGAAACCGCTACGGACATGAGCCAAAATGGCTACGGAGGAGGAGGAGGAGGAGGAGGAGGAGGGCGAAGAGGAGGAGGAGGAGGAGGAAAAGCAAAAACCCCACCCCACCAGCGCGCCAGAGCGGGGCCGCGCTGGGGAGGAGGAGGCTGCTGGCGCCGGGCGCGGCCGCTCCGTGGTGGATCGGGAGGACGGGGACATGCGGCGCCCCTCGCTCTACCATTGCACAATCTGCATATTACTCTCCTCTCTCCCCTGGTGGCGTCACTGGATTGTTCGGCCCCCCTCCGCGCACTGGTTTTTTACACCGGATTCTCGAGAGTTGGGTTTTCGCTTGGGCTTATGTTTCTCGATATGCTGCTTGCGCTGAGGCGCTGGCCTCATTTTCGGGCTATCGCTCGTTGCGAATCGTGCTCCCGCTGCAGCGATGGCCTCATTTCCGCGCTTCCGCTCGTTCCGGATCGTGCTCCCGCTGCAGCGCTGGCGGCATTATTTGGAGCGCCATGCCTCGACATGTTTTTTGGGCCTTCCAAATAAATGCTTGGAAGTGATTCCACATTCGGTGCCGATTCGTTGATTTGTTGGGTCGCGGAAGCGCCCCCCCACTTTGCGGAGTCGCCACGCCATGCTATGTCAGGCTACGCGCTCTCATTTCCGCGCTTCCGCGCTTAGTTGTTGATTCAAAATGCTGCTCTCGCTGACACGCTGACCTCATTTCCGCGCTTCCGCTCGTTCCGAATCGTGCTCCCGCTGCAGCACTGGCCTCATCTCCGCGCTTCCACTCGTTCCGAATCGTGCTCCCGCTGCAGCGCTGGCGTCACTATTTGGAGCGCCATGCCACGGCATGGTTTTCGGTTGTTCCAAATAGGTCCCAAAATCTAAAAAAACGACACCCGAATAAACCAGCGGAAGAGATTCCACATGTGGTGTCGATTCGTTGATTTTTGGGTGCCGGCTAGGCCCTCCCCAGAGCCCCCCCCCCACTGTGGGTCGTCGCCAAACTATGCGTTTTTCGTGTTATATATGCACACCGTAGAGTAGTAGTAGTAGTAGTAGTAGTAGTAGTAGTAGTAGTAGTAGTAGTAGTAGTAGTAGTAGTAGTAGTAGTAGTAGTAGTAGTAGTAGTAGTAGTAGTAGTAGTAGTAGTAGTAGTAGTAGTAGTAGTAGTAGTAGTAGTAGTAGTAGTAGTAGTAGTAGTAGTAGTAGTAGTAGTAGTAGTAGTAGTAGTAGTCGTAGTAGTAGTAGTAGTAGTAGTAGTAGTATAGTAGTACGTAGAGTAGTAGTAGTAGTAGTAGTAGTAGTAGTAGTAGTAGTAGTAGTAGTAGTAGTAGTAGTAGTATAGTAGTAGTAGTAGTAGTAGTAGTAGTAGTAGTAGTACTACTACTACTAGTAGTCGTCGTCGTCGTCGTCGTCGCCGTCGTGATAGGTCGTAGTAGTACGAGTCGTAGGCGTAGTAGGGTTTAGTAGTAGTAGTAGTAGTAGTAGTAGTAGTAGTAGTAGTAGTCGTAGTAGTAGTCGTGGTAGTCGTGGTGGTAGTAGTAGTAGTAGTAGTAGTAATAGTACTAGTAGTAGTAGTAGTAGTAGTAGTCGTCGTCGTAGTAGTAGTAGCAGCAGCAGCAGGAGTAGTAGTAGGAGTAGGAGGAGGAGGCGTAGTAGTAGTAGTAGTAGTAGTAGTAGTAGTAGTAGTAGTAGTAGTAGTAGTAGTAGTAGTAGTGGATAGTAGTAGTAGTAGTAGTAGTAGTAGTAGTAGTAGTAGTAGTAGTAGTAGTAGTAGTAGTAGTAGTAGTAGTAGTAGTAGTAGTAATAGTAGTAGACATATTAAAGGTAGTATTACTAGCACTACTGGTAATAGTGAGGCTATCCTTCCTCGTTTTGCCCCACGGAGGCTCTGGGATTCCTCCGGATCCCTTAAGGATTCCTGCAGATCTGAGGCTCCCTTGGGTTTCTGAAGGGTTCCGTCGGGATCCTTGAGGACCCGAAGATTCCCTAAGGATTCACATGGGTTCCCTAGGGACTCCTGGGGGCCTGGGGATCCCCAAGGGATTTTGTCCAGAGGGTCCGGGGATTCCACAAGGATTCTCGAGGACCTGGAAATTTTCTAAGGGATTCCTGCGGACCCGAGGATTCCCGAACAATTCCTGGGGATCACAGCAATCCTGTTGGATTCCTCTAGAGGTTCACGTGGACCCTCTAGAGATTTCCAGGGATCCGACGATTCCTCTGGGATTCCTGAGGGATTCATTGCGGATTCATGCGAACCCGAAGATTCCCGAGGGATTCCTGAGGTACCGAAGATTCCCTCGGGATTCTTGTGGACCCCAAGATTCCTTAGGAATTCCTGCAGATCGGGTGATGCCCTGGGGTTTCCCGTGGACCCGAATATTCCCGAAGGAGGACCCAAGGAAGTCCGTCCGATTCCTTAGGGTTTTGTGCAACCCAGAAGATTCCTGAAGATTCCCAAGTGGTTCCTGAGGATCAGAGGATCCCTAGGGATTCCTGGAGGTCCAGGGATCCTAACGGAATTCCTGAATATCCGAAGC